AATGAAACAAATTAATTGCAGTCACAGTTGTAACTCCTGTATATCTCACCACATGTGATTTTACTAGCTAGCAGTGACAGTCTTGTTTGTGCTTTGTCAGTTTCTTTTTCATTTTTCACCTTGCTGTAAAATAGGAGTAACTTCTATTGTTCCTACTGTTTAGAAATTGTTTAAGTAGGAACCTCCACAGAGCTATGAGCTATCCATTAAGTTCACATCATAAAGTGATTCCAGTCTGATGTTATTTTCTGTCTAATAGATGTATGCAAATTATTTAAGCTTTTGTAATTTTATAAATTTGAGTTTGCCTATTCCAGATAAGCTACAGGTCAAGCTACGAGCTGAGGGTGGTATCAGGGCATTGCTTGGGATGGTAAGATGTAGACATCCTGATGTTCTTTCTCAGATTGCACGTGGAATAGCTAACTTTGCTAAATGTGAATCTCGGGGTGCAACTCAAGGTATGTGCCATCTTTGCCTAGTTGAGTAACTTGATTAAGCAAGAGGCTAGTCTCTCTCCGACTGATGTATTAGGACTTGTTCTGAACTTCTGTTGCATGAGCTTCCAGGGCTTCCTAACGGTCAAGGGCTTGTTTTTCTTCATGTGTGCTGTTAGAGGACCTGTCATCATCATCTCATAGAGTCAAACAGTTTCAGTTTTCAAAAGTGAAGCATGGCTTTTAAAGTTCAAATTTATCATCAATCTTGATTACAAAATACTAGCACTTTGCTCTGATAGTTGATGAGTAGAATGTATGTTCAATTGGTGACGTGGTGGAATGTGATCATCAGCTTTAGGAGAAATGAGTTTCTTCTTGGTTTGTCCCAATTCCATTCTTCATTCCTGTCAAGTGTCAACGGAAATTGTAGCATTGGACCTTTTACCAAAACACTTAGGTTTTGAGAAAGCCCTTGGAAAGGTGTCATGCACAATTAAATTTCAGTAGTATTAAAGTTCCTTTGTGTATTGTCCCAGCATCAAACGTACCTAGCTCCTAATGGTCCAACAACTAGTTTGAGTATGGAAGGAGAATTTGCTGTTTAGGATTTCGATAGGTTCCTTTGATGTTTCTCATGCTTGTGCCTTGTTTACTTTAGGGTCTAAAACTGGAAAATCGTTACTGCTCGAGGATGGTGCACTTCCTTGGATTGTACAACATGCCAACAATGAAGCTTCACCGATCAGGCGGCATATTGAGCTTGCATTGTGTCACTTAGCTCAGCATGGTAAGTAAAAAAATATTGTTTTCAAACTGCATAAAATGAAACGGTATTACTCAGTGAAATGACAGTTGAAAAAAAATGTACATTATTTCCGCAGAAGTAAATGTGAAAGATATGATTGCTGGGGGTGCACTTTGGGAGCTGGTACGCATATCCCGAGACTGCTCACGGGAAGACATTAGGACTCTTGCCCGTCGAACCCTTATTTCCAGCCCCACTTTCCAAGCAGAGCTGAGTCGGTTACGTGTGGAGATATAATCTTTAGGACGATTATATATTCTCACCCGTAAAGATTATCCAGATAGGATTCTCCGGATGCAGCGCAGTGCCTCTAGTATGAAGAGGAAATATACGACGCTGAACAAGTCAGTACGGAATTTTTCGCAAGTCTGACGCATAGACAGTGGTGGAGGTCAGTTTTGTAATCCTATAGTTAATGTATATCGGTTCGAAGGGGAGCTCCCCTGCCACCTGCCACACCTGAGATGGATAAATGATTCTCACTGGGTTCTTGTGGTTACCTCCATGGGATTCCCAGATTACATCTATGAAGGGGAAAAAAGTAGTGCTAATATCATTATTGAGGTCTCGCCTAATGTATTGTAGCATTTTATCTATTTCATTTCATAATTGTGTAAATTCTAATGTAAATTGTTCCATTTTTTCCCTATACAAGTCTTAAGGTTGTGTTCTCTTCGACTACAATAAGGTCATCTAATTCCATTTCTAAGTCATATAGTCTAATCTTATCTCTTGATTTAACGAAACTTTGATTGTATTTGTACTCCAATATACATACGAAGTAAAATGTATTATCAAGTAGGATCTTTTTAAAATATACTGTAATGTGTATTTTTTTTTTAAATACTCGTTCAATTTTATCAAATAAAATACTAGCTCCGTTAATTACGGTTTAACTTTAAATTTTGTTATATCTCACAAATAATACCTTAAAGTTGCGTATAATAAGTAACGGAGTTGGTATAATTATTTGACAACGCGCTACCGGGAAAAAGTAATATTGGTCTATTTTTTTTCCAGTATTCTAATTATGGAGTAACAAACAAGTATGTGTGTTGTTAGCACTTAGCAAGAGATTGAATATCGAGGTTGGACAAGAACAACAATAATGAGCATACAGAATAGCCTCAAACCCAGCTATTATTAGTCAGTACTTGAAGTTTAGTGATCAATAACCCATGCACTGTCGTCAAAGCTTAGGACAAAGACAAAGGATAATTATTTTATCTCTTCATTTATCAAACTTTACGAAAACGACAAGGTAGATAATAGAGACAAAAGTTGCAAAGACAATTAAGGCAGCTTATCAAGGTTAAGATTCACTCAACATTATAGCCAAAAAAAAAAACTATAACAAAGTCCATGGGAAGCTGGATAAGGTTTCCATATAAGGCTTTTTTCACTCGGTCATTCTTGATAGTCGATACATACGTTGTCCCTTTGTAGCCTACGCATACATTCAAATCAAAAGTATTTGAGAAAATATATATACAAAGGATTAGGACTAGTTATCTTACAAAATATAGTGAGCTAAAATGGCATTAAACTCAAATTTAGTTTAATACAACCCTAGCTAGCTAATTACCCCTTTAGACCTTCATGGAAATGGTAAATGACTTTGTTGCAATTTTTTTTAATGTCCAAAGATACTTCCGTAATTCAATGGCAAAGTTTTGTGGGAATCAAAGTATAGACTCCTAGATGTTCAATTGTCTCTTCTTTAGTATATGATAGAAGTACGACACTGAAATCAATACACGATTTACTAACCCCTAAGAAAAGCTTAGTACCACTCAATATAATACAAAACCTAAAACTATCAAAGAGAAGGTCGTTTTGAAAACTTGTATATACTTGTAATATACATGGAAATTTGACTATATTATATTGGACTGAATTATATATGCATGACTCATTATTATATGGATTTACCTATGCTTACTTGCTTAGAATCATTAGTTAAAGTAATTTCTTTAAATCTTTGCTAAACATGATCGCCTGACAAGTAAAGCTAAGGTTAATCCAAAAGCTAAACATAAATAATTTTTAACATGCATATACATCTTGAAATCGAAAAATTAAATTAATTCAATACACTCTAATAAGATCAGATATTTAAAAACAGAGGAAATAATATATATGTTTCAACAAGATTTAAAATATCCTATTGTTATTATAATTAAAAATACTTTTTATTTTTTGAAGACAATAATTAAAAATACTTTATAACATTGAAAGTGAAGATAAAGAGTGTATTAAACTAATATAAATTTAAGAGACAAAAACAGTGATGAGTAGTGAACAACAAGCTTCCACTCTTACACAACCTCTCAATTGCAAACAAGTAAGAGGAGAGAGAAAGAAGAGAGAGAAACTAACACAAAGAAAAATGGTTAAAAGCTTCACAAACTCTCAAGCCGGAGAGGTGCGTGGGTGTTGCTTTTTTTTTTTTTTTTTTTTTTTTTTATCTAACTTCTGTTTTTTTAAGTGCTTAGCTGTGAATCTGTTTAGTCTGTTTTTTATTTTATTTTTTTCATATATATGAATAAAATAAAAAAAATAAAAAAATGCCTCGAAAAGGAACTTTTTTAGCACCTTAAAATTAGTTTATTCAGAGCATCAGAGTAGCAGCGCGCGTGCAAATGTGCAATCCTTCAGTCAGATCACTAATATATTCACTCATCAGATCACCTTCTTCTATGTACACTACATACTACAACTTCTAACCTTCTCCAATCTTCACTCTTAATTCATCATATATCCCAACCCCCCTACTTTAATAGTAATGCTTATATACAGTCGTAAAGGCCGACTATGTATAGGTGTCCCGTATAGTATTAATTCCGTATTTTAAAACATAATCATACTCCGTTCATCATTCAGTGTTACATTTTAGCTTCCTATGTATCACTATCCAACAATATTGTATGTGATGCCCATACTATATTGTCTAGTGTGTATTAAGTTGATGCTAATGTCTATGATTATGGTCATGTAACAACATGTTTAGAATAGTAATTATTATTTTTAATTATGTGATAAAAGCGAAGTTATGGGAATGAATGATGGTAATGCGTGCAGTGAGAAAAAGTTGGTGGGCGCTAAGTTGCATGTGAAGTAAGTACAAAGAAAGTGATCAAAGACTCTCCCTACTTTTACTCTGCTTATTCATTATTTTTTTTTAAATATAGTATGTTTATATACCTCCTTTATAATTATAATTAAAGATGGATCATAAGTAGTTTAAGGTTTTGGATAATTGACCCACCTTTTCTAAAAAAAAAATTAACATTTAATTGATTTAATTATAAAATTCATAATACTTCCTCAATTTCATTTAAATTACTTTGTTCTTTTTTAAAACAGAAAAAAAAAAATTGATAATTTTATATGTTTATATTTAACTCGGCCATATAACAATCACATAGAACATGGAGAGAAATAGTAGAGGTACTGAAAACGTGGAAAATTTTGATTTTTAAAATTATAATGTTCTTGTTATTATATGTATATGATCAAGATGAAGTCTAAAAACTTGAAATTAATCAGTTTTACAAATTAAATTTCACACATGGACATTAGCATCACTGATGTAATTTCATGGTTTATCACAAATCAAAAACAAAAACAAGACCCATGAAAATTATTAACATCCAAAGTAATGTAAGATCAAAGAAAGGAATACAAAAGAAAATTGTCCAAACAAACATAGATAAGGCAAAAATAAAATTAAAAGGAAATAATAAAGCAAGAGATGATGATGGATAAACTTTCTCTGATCTCTACTTAAATTCTGAGTAGTAAAAGTTTCCAACTTAACAAAGAGCTTCATTCATTCATTCAAACAAAAAAAAAAAAAAAAAAAAGAAAAACATTCACTTATAATTAATCCGTCAAAGGAGTAAAATGTACTAACATTTGATCATCATAATTTCAATAAGGAGGTCGATTATTAGGAGTACCCCAAAAAGCCTCAGGTGGCAATGAATTCAACAAGTTTGGTGGCAACCCTTGTAGTAAATTCCCTCCTCCTCCTCCTCCGCCTCCTGATCCTCCACCACCTCCGCTTCCATTATTATTATTACTGGGATCGCCCATGACTTGCCCTCCTACTCCTCCAGGTGGCGGTGACCCTAATCCACCGCCACCATTATTCCCAAGGCCTACTCCTGGCATCTGGGTCCCACCTCCCTCTTCTTCCTCTAGTGGTAATCTCTCATAGGCCGCGTTCCCAAAAGATGCGGCCATGACCACTACAGGCCCAGATGCCAGAAGAGGCCCTACAACCCCGCCCCCTACCACCTGCCCTTGACCTCCAGCTAGATAAATGGTAAGTCCAGAAGCGGCAGGTGGAGCTGGGGGCGGTAAAAACGACCCAGATAAAGATAGAATTTCAAACCTCCCATGTAAGGTAACAACCGCACCCGGTGCCCCCGGTTGTCGGAGAGTAACATTCGCAACCGTCCCCGTTCCACTCAAGATACAAACCCCTCTTTGCTTACGACGAGCAAAGTTTGTTATACTGTCCATAATATCACATCCATTTGCAACTTCCATAACATGAGATCTAAGAGCATTGGCACTATCTCTTGTAATAATAATAGGTGGTTTAGGTTTGTTCTTGGATCCAGCTGGTCTTCCTCTAGGCCGTCTTTGGATCTCTCTTTCGCCGTCACCTCCGCCTTCGTTCTTGCTATCAGCAGCTCCCGAGTCGTCTCGTTCCCTCTTTAGACTCGATTTAAGGTCGCTACTACTTCCGCTTTGCTCAGCTTCCGAGCTATGATGCTGTTGTTGTTGCTGCTGTTGTTGTTGATGATGTTGTTGTTGAAGTAGAAGTTGCGGTTGTTGTTGTTGCTGTTGTTGTTGTTGCTGTTGCTGAAAGTGGTGAAACTGATGATGAGGGTTTAGATGAAGACTATTAGAATGAAAAGGAGGAGGAAGAGGCCTTCCATGAGCAGTTACTTGATCCATATTATCGAAATCGATATCGAAATCAAAGACCCAACCTTAACGATGAACGACTTATATGAATTATTAACCTAATCAACTAGAACAAGAAAGAAAGAAAAAATGGTGATAAGAAGCTAAGAATTATAATTTTCATGGGATAATAATAGAAGTTGAATTTTTTGAATAATGGAAATGATAATTGGTAAAAGTAGGGTGAAAAGAAAAGAATCACGTAAAAAATGCAAGAAAAAGAGTAGAGCAAGGTTTTAGGTTGAGAAGGGAGAAGAATGAAAGTGTTGGAGAGAAGAAGTTGAAGATTGGGTTAAGTTTGAGAGGAGAGAGAAATTTTAAGAGAGGTGTGTGCTTAGATATATTTTTTTTGATGAGGGGTAACAAATAAGAATCAACAAAAAAAGGGGGGAAATTTGGGAGAGTTGGGTTAGGGTTAGGTCTTAAAGGGTTAGGATTTTTTTTTTAAATTCTTTTTTATTTTAATTTTAAATTATTTTTATTGTATTATATATATTTATTAATTTAATTTTTGTTGGGGTGTTAGAGGGATTAAGGACATAAGGTTGTTAGAAGATGGGGTATTGAGAATTTGTGTAAGAGAAAGGAGGAAAGGCAGCATGCGCATGGGCGGTGACTAGTGAGTGAATGAAAACAAATTATTAGATGGTGTTGGATTTTTTGAAAAATTTTATGGTATTTTGGGCTAATTAAATTTTTTAAATTGTGAAGATTATAAAACTCATGTGAAACCTATGTTTTTTTTAGTTTTATTTTTATTTTTATTAAACTTAGTGTACTTGATATGATTTTTTCAAGTTCATTGCAACCATTTGACTTTTACGTACATTATTCTAATTTGATTCTCTTTAATGTTTTATACTCGGGGAATAATAAAAATAGTCAGGAGGATCTTGTGAATTATTACATACATTCTTCTCAAATTTAATTAACTTTCACAATATCTATTTTTTATTTTTACTTATTTATAATAAGAGATAAACATAATATATGTCATTAAAATAACTCATTGACAAACGTGAAAAGGTAAATGTACTTAAAAATCTTTATGGACTTATGGTAAAATATGAATTATGAACTTATTATCCTTGTAGTTAGTTTATTTACTCCGTAATTTAGATAATTAATTGGAAATTATTGTACTTGTAAATTAAGTTTGGGTGTAAACTCTTTTTTATTTCGATCTTTATTTATTTTGAATTTATATACACTAAATTCTCTCAAACTCAATTTATAAGCTTAATTGTCTCAAAATTAGTTGAAGGAAACAAATTAATGTTAAGTGGTCTAGTTTAATGTGTTGAATTCGATCTGTCATATATATATATATATATATATATATATATATATATATATATATATATATATATATATATATATATATATATATATATATATATATATATATATATATATATATATATATATATATATATATATATTGTAGTCTTATTAGTATCCTCTCCATTAAAATTATATTCTCTATAAACTGACTTTGAGAACTCATTTATACAATCAGATCAGGACAATTTTTACTGTACAACCGATTGTATGATATGATAAACTCCGTAATCAAGAATATCTATTTACTTAATTTAGGGGAACTTCAAAAAAAAAAAAAAAAAGATGAATGGCCAAATGGGGTTGTATCGTGTGAATTAGGCCTTATTTAGTTCAACTTGTTTTTACTTATTTCAGAAAAAATAAGTTTTGATCAGAAAAAATAAGTTCAGATCAGATCATTGTTTTTATGTGCAGTTCTTTATCGCTAAATATCTTTAATTTCGTAATGAAAAAAATTATAAAAATTAATAAAATAAATATTATTACGAATCTAATAAGACCCCACTTGATATATTTTTTCTTTATAGATTATCGTACACTTAAGGTCAAAATTTAGTCAAATCAGATCAGATCAGATCATATCAGACCAGAGCAGACCAAATCAGATAAATTCAGATAAACAAATATAAGGTGAACTAAACAGGTCTTAGCAAACAAAAGAAAAGAAAAGAAAGTTCCCCTCATCTCAATAATGGAACCCTCCCAGATACACTCCAAATTTGTCCCTATCCTCATATTTGGTTGAATGATGTTGACCCATTTTATTAATATGACCTAATATAAACCCTGCCCCCTAATATATCATCCAATTAAACACCCCATAACCCCACCCCCCAATAATTTAAATTATTAATTAAATATCTCTCTTTTCTTGTTCTTAATTTTAGCTCTTGTTAATAATTAGGTTGTACCTTAATTAAATGAGTTAAATACATTTAGCAAACTTGTACAAGTACATAATAATATGTTGTCCCTTTCCCATCCCTCATCTCTCCATGTCTTATGTTATATATAGTATATATACCACCTGTCCACCTTAATTAATTACAGTACCTTCTTTTAATTTTATACTATTTATTGTCTTACATTTGCTTAACTCATCACGTACTTTGTAACAAATAAGTGTGTGCCATTTTATAATACTCCAAATAAACCAAGCAGTAGTTAAAAAATTTAGCTGCCAAAATAGGTGGACTAGAAGTACATAGTATAATGACATGATTTTGTATGACTTTGATTTCTATATGGTATTATAGGGGATACTGTTCACCGTACGATAATACTTCATAAGAAGTAGCTGATAGTCTACTTCATACATACTACATTATAGTTTTATTATCATTCCCTTGATTTATAATCGTTGCTGAATTAGTATGCTAGCAATAAGAAAACAAGTTAGGATAAATGCACCTTGTACTGTATATAAACTTAACAAGATCTCACATTCTCGCTCAATCTGCTATATTTTTACGGAATATTAAGGATAGAAAGAGTGTTAGATACGATCAAATACTTCCTAAATGTTCAAAAATCACACACTAGCTTAGCTAGATATAGTCAAACATTAACAACAAGAAAATGACAGTCCAAATAAACTTAAATTGGCATTATGACATACAATTTCCTGATTTAAAGGAGATTATATATGATGATGAAATAGAATTGCAAAACCAGGAAATTAAAAGAGAGAGAATGGTGCATGTGGAAGAGCTAAGAAGATGATGGGGGGATGATCTGATTATGGGAAATTGGAGTCGTTTTACGGGTCTCACCCTAACTTGCTCAGGCCGTGTCTCATGGGCGTCTTCCCTTCTTCTTTATTATTTCTGTGCCCCTTTTTCGGTCCCACTCTCCTTCACTCTTATCATATGCTTACCACGTGTCCCTTTTCCCCAATATCATTACCATTTTTATTCATTCACTTTTATTGCCATAGTCGGAAATTAATAGTTGCGTTGATTATTAATAATATGATACGTTGTGGTTTAGATGTATGGAGGAATTAATTTGTAATTTCGGGTGGTGAGCTCATGTATGTAATTTAGGGTGAATTTTTTCACCTTATTTTCACCGATCTAAACTTAATTTAAATGAACTTATTAAAAATTACATCCTAAGTAGCTCTTGTTAATTCTTCTCATAACTTATTTTTCATAAACTTATCTTATTTATACTTATTTGAACATGTTTAATAGAACATGACCTTAATTAAGATGGTGGATTGATTAAATGGTTACAAGTCTGATTAATTAGTGACTTTGACAGTTCAATTTAAATAAGAAAAATGCTCATTACATACTTCGTATAAATTATGATTATAAAGATGAGAATGTACGTATACATAGTTTGTGCTGTTAAAATTAGTGTAACGATAAGGCACTTGTGTCAATTCAATAGTAGTGGATGATGCAAAGTTTCCATGTAATTTGAGTCAAATATTCCATTTTGAAATAGTAAGAGTTAATATTAACTTTTCCAATGAAGATTGTTACACACACGTATGCATTAACACCGGATTTTCTGGTTCATTAACCATCGTGTTACTAGTTGTTGAAAGAAACGATACAAGTTTTGACGCTGAAATCAGAGTCTAAAGTTTGTTCAACGGTTATATATGGGCCAAAAATCAGTTTGAATGCAACAATTACCAAAAAATGTAAAAAATAGGAGTAGGGGAAAGAATTTCAAATATAAACTTGGTATTTACTGTATGTAATTGGGCAAAAAATACTTATTTTTCACTAACAAACATTTTATCTGATATTTGTTTACAATGTACACCCTAGAGTAATAGTAGTAATAACAAATTTTAAAAACATGGTTAAAAAAAAGTAACATGAATATTTGCTTAAAGGCCTTAAACTCTATTCAATAAGAGGACAACATTTTATATTACTTAGTTAGACTAATTCAAATTTGAGCAAAATGGATCCCTAATTGGTGGAAAAAAATTTCAACCGACAAATAATATTGTTGTATCTCGTGGTTAAATATAAGACCTTTTATTAAGATGAAACAACTTTCTAATCAGTCAATTTAAACACTTAGGGGTTAGAGAGACAATATGGCAGCATATTTATGTGAAGCATTTGGGTTGTACTCAGTATAGTTACAAGAAACAGTCGAGTCATAACTCATCCACGTGCACTAAGGTTTAGAGAAAGAAAAAAAAAAGATTAAAGCGCAGCGCATTAATCGTAACACGGTCTTTGACACCAAATAAACGCTGCGTTTCAGTGGCGGAATGTAGGGGTAAAGTGGAGAATAGAGAGATAAAGGGGCAATGAGGCTTATCTGCTACGGAGTAAGGAGTACACATGGATTTGGACATGCCCGTTAAGCTATTATGTCTGTCAGATGCATTGCATTTGCTGCCCTTTTTTTTCTTCTTATTTGCTTTTATCAACAACTTACTGTACATTGGATAATTCCTAAGTTTTTATTTCTTGCTTTAGACATAAGTATTAACTAAATCGAGTTCCACCAAGGTTATGATGGCTTGGAATTAAAGGTGTCGAGTTGGGGATCTGGTTCAAATCGGATCGGGTATGCATAGTCTATTTCACATTTGAGTGAATTGAGTCATGCTATATTATTGTGTCTATACAAATCGAAATTTGAATCGATTTAGGACGGGTCGATCAAGTTAGTTTTTGACGGGAGAAGATGAGTTCGCAAATACATGCAACATCCCATTAAAGAAAGTACTTATACGTAATAAGTAATTTTGCTGCTAAATGAGCTCAATATGACATTCGCGGTTCTAATTAACATGACAACAAGAAAAAGAATAAAGCATAAACTAATCGAACAAAGTACACATACATCTTCCAACACTATATTAAGTCCTTAGGAGATCTTCCAAATTGCTTCAAACAAATTGCCTTAACAATATCCAGGGCATCACATTCAAGCTTAACATCTATGACTATTATCCTTGCCAATCTCTTGACAGTCATCAGTCCAAACTCTCCCCATCCAATAAAAATAATCGTTTCATTTATCAAATGTATTATTGTGCCAGAACTTATCTTTATGACTTATTTTGTTCAAACTCGTGACTGTGTATGAACTTGTTTTGTCTAAGATTATCTAACCTTATTATAATTTTTTTTTTCAAAAATAAGTCAAAATAATCTTAGGAGAACACAAAAATTATAACTACAGTAATAAATATAATTAATTAAAAGTGAAAATGAAAATAAATAAATGCAACGAGCACGGAGTAGCTTTTAGAGTCTGAAATTACCCTATATTCGTCATACGTTAACCTCACTATCTTGTCTCGTATAATGTTGATTACCAAATCTCCTTTCACATAATTACATTCATACTATAATTAGTCAAAGATGGAGAAAAAAAATATCCACAAACACACACAAAGCTAGGGAAAGTTATGTTACCATAATATAACTATAAGCTCAATCATACATCTCGAAGTCAATGGAACTTGATTTAATTTGTTGAATAATAATGAGGCGTTATTCAATCAAATCTATAATAGCTTCTCTTCTAATTACAATGATTGTTTCTTTAGATTATGAATTTTAAATTAACTGTTTTATATAAAACAATTTTTTCCATGCTATGTAGTCAAAAAAAGATTTAATATACCAAATTGTCTCACAAAATGCTCCAATAACGAAAGAGACAAAATCATAAGAAATAAGCTATTTAACCATGCAACTCCACTTTTGTTTGTGATTTATATACAGTATTTTTCTTTTTTTTGATATTGTAATAATGATAATAATATCAAAATGAGTACGAAGTATATATAAAACATTCCCCAATATATATACCCTCTCGTGCGGTTTTGATGTGACCATTATCTAACTTTCCTTCTTTTCTTTTTTTTTTTTTTTTTTTGCCTTATAAAACTCTTCAATCAAAAGAGGGCAAAAAATCTCATTGATATTTTCACTTAACAAATAATTAAGGGTTAGAGACATGTATGCAAGCATGAAATCAATATTAATAGTAGAATATTAGTCCCTTCGTCATGTCATTAACTTCAACTAGCAACTTTGAAAAAACAATTGGCCAAGTTGATCGAAGAACTTTAGACGAGATGTCAGAGTTCGATACTATCAGACTCACATTTAATTTGGAAGTTTCTCCTTTACTACTTGGTCTGTGTTATAGTCGGTCGTTTATCTTCAAGAAAATAATATTATTTCAATGTTGGCATCTAATTATTTAATCAAACTAATCATTAATCTAATAAAATAAACGATGATATGCTTCACAATCTCTAAAAACAAATGGATTTATTTTCATTGAATTTAGTGAGCAAGAAAACAATTAAGTTTTTGGTGTACAAAAACAGCTAAGAGAGCATTCCCTTTGGAGAGAAGTAGCTAGCTAAGCTTAGCATATAGAGATAGACCTTGAAAATTGTAGCAACTTGCAATTATATGGTGAAATATGCCAACTCAAACAAATTATTTAAAAATTGTTTTGGTAGGGAAAAAAAAATGTAATAAACTAACTACACCATGTCTTAATCAACTCTCCTTTAATTAATTAACTTTAATTTGTTAGATAATTATCACTACATACACATAAGAGTGAAGCATAAGAAATCAAAACCCATACTCCACTTACCAATAAATAAACTATAGTTTTTTTTTTATATGAAAGCTACTTTATATTATGCAAAGATACATTACATTTATACATATATTATTATATAGTTTATGGACCACATTAAGCAAAAACATAGAAATAAGTTGACATGTGATGAGCACCTAATTAAGTTCCCTCGAATCTTGCATAATGTTGCATGTTCTTTACTTTTTATTTTATTTTTTTTTAACACTTTTTTTTTTTAGGGTGGAAAGTGATTTTGAGGTTGTTCCAATTTTCCCGCCCCTAACACTTATCCTCCAATTACAAGACTTAATCCAAAAGTGGTCCTAATTATAGGACAATACCTTGATTAATTAAATGTAATTAAGAGGATTAATAAAATAATTGGGCGCTTGCGTTGAATTTAGTGAATATTTAAAGAATTAAACAACCGACCAAAAATTAAGGTGATGAGGTCTCCATGTGATGGATAGCGATGTGGTAATTGGAATCATTCTAATCACAACTTCAACTACTACTTTGTTCATCAATAATCTCCCTCTTTCTTTGATCTATTTCTTGCTGGCATTTGGTCAACGCTAATTGTTGCTTACTTATCATAGATTCCTTTGTCGTCTTGTTTATTTTATTTTAACCCCATATTATTAAATTGATTGTATTGTAAGTATTTATTGGAAGTTATACAAAGTATTATACCTTCCGTCTCATCATAATATTTGCTTGGTTTATAATATTTAAGGATTCACATATTGTAGTTTTGTTACATAAACCTATTATGATAGTTGATAATTCTCTTATTTGCATTTTTCTCCATCATATCAAAGATAAATTAGTACTCAATTAAGAAGCTAGTTCTGATTAATAAATCCAATATTAAGTTATTCAAGTTGAATTTGCAATATCTTAACTAACTACCATATGCTTAAGTAAGGTCGTCGTGTATATATTGTTCACTTTATATCCACTCAATTTAGAAACACTAAATTTCACTAAGGATTAATAGTCCGTTATTCACAAAAGTTGATATAAAATAACTAGTCCATGGTAATAAGGTTTGTCCAAATTAAAATCACAACTAAGGGTTTGTTTGGCATTACTGTGGTTTTCTATTTTTTGGGTTTTTGTTTTTCAAAATCATATGATATATGTTATATAATAAATAAAAAATTAGTCAAATAAACTTATTAAAAGCATGATAATTTTGAAAACTGACAACAGAAAAGTAAAAAACATCTTTTTCTTGTTTTTGGTTTTTTTGTTTTAAAAAAACAAGATACTAATAAAAACAAAAAATAATGTCAAACAAGCTCTAAATTAATAAATTCAAATAACTAAAAACTCTGTGAATGTGATGATTAAACCTCTCTTACTAGAGCTACAATCTTCATTAGATAGTTGTCCATTTTCCTATTTATAAAACAAAGCTTCAGCCCGTTCATGATGATGTCACAAGCTATGGAGCACCTATAATTTACAGATAAAATAATCTCCTTACAAGAAATTGACCTTGAAAAAAACACTCCTAATTTATAAAATTTATCCTTAAAAAAATTTCTTCTAAATTTTAATAAAAAAAATTCTAACAAATAATAATTATCCTAAATTAGGTCAAAAGTTACCCCAAATTAATATAATCATTGTATAACTAGTTGGTGTAGGTAATATTACTATGCACCAAAAATGTACTCAAAAGTATTTGCAGTCAAATTAGCTAAGTGAAACAATCTCGGATTCTTATTCTAGGAATAAAAGAGGTTTACGAGGATCAACTTTCCTAAGTCCCCTGTGCCAGATAAGTATTCATGATTTGACCCATTGATAGGCATGATAGCAAAAGTAATTAACGACTAGTTATAATTCTCAACAAGATTAAGAGCCTTAATTGTCTTACCTAAAAGTGTTCTGTGTCTCCCAAACTAAATTATTGATTTAATATTCCTACTGGTGCTTGATGAGCATTAATTATTTGCATGTAATTGTTAGAGGAGCTTAGGGGGGACTGGTGCGTGGAGCCCCCCCTCCAATACGAATAAGATATGTTATAACCCGAGGAGAAAATGTCAAAATTGTTTCGATAAAATGAATATTATATTATTTGTTTAACTAAAAAGTTTTGAAATTTTTTATTTGATATCACCGAGAAGGAATGTTTTGGCTCGGACCTTATATAGTTATATTAGATGAGTAATTGAGTATTAAGACCATTGATTTAGTACATGTTATGTCCAACTATTTATAACAAAAGATGTCATGCTCATATTAATTATTATGGGAATTTTTATTAAAAAAAATTTGCACATTTTAAATCATAGTAATAGTACATTTATTTGTGGGAGACTAGGCTCATGTTTAATTATGCAGTTCCAACTTCTTTGGAAATGTTATAAAAATTGGAACCTTCCATAAACATAGCATAGGTTGTATGCAAACAAAATCAGGTACTTGCATTTTTTATAGCATTTAATTATTCAGTAGCCATTTATAGGCAAATCTTTCGACAACTTTGTACTGATAAATTAAGAGTAATATATGTTTGTCCAATATTATACTACAAAAAAAATATAGTTTATCTCTCAAAAGTTTTATATATGATTATATGAATAAGATAGTCTATAGTCTAGTAATCTCTAAGCAACCAATATTTTTTTTAACATTGGAAAGAGGCTAATCATTACCTACGACAATTGTTCAAAGTGATAATTAATTTAATTATCAATCTTAGAAAGAGATCTAATTAATTAATTTTAATTTTATCTGCCTAATCTAATTTTAAATTAAAAAAAACGCGGTGCTTGATCTAGACCTAATTAACTGACATTTCTTACAAATTGGTTATGAATATTATTTCGAGGAATGAATAATACATTTCCTTATTTATAAAGTAAGATATGATGTATAAAAATAGAAATATTGAAGATATTTTAGGCAATGCAATTAATTAGATGGTAACCAACCATATGACAGACAATGAAACAAGTACCCTTTTGTAGAAAATGATCAATTTAATTTTGAATAATTAAGTAGAGAATCACATTGAAATTAAAATATAACCAACTGGATGATAGTTGATGAACATTTAGCCAAGTTGCTAATGGATATGAGGTAATGTTTGACTACATAAAGCAAATTTTGATTATTGAAAAAATCAAAGTTCAATTTTGTTAAAATAGTGCAAGTAAAGGAGACTATGATTTATTATGCTTGTAATGTAACTAAAATATTCAGAGTCTATTTGGCAAATTTCGTAATTATAATAGCTTTGTAGCGACTCTTTACCGGTGCATACATCTATCTTATTAATTTGATTTGAACTTATTTTTGTTTAGCCTAACTAATAGCTTATTTTCCGAGACAAATCTAAATCAATATGAAGGATTAATAACTTGTCAAAGCATATTCATATTAATTGTGAAATGAGTTTGATTAGGCTTTATAGACTTCATAATTATAAGTAGTTGTGAACTCAATATTCCAAAATTGAGATTATTTGAATTTAATTGTCTTGAAGTTTACTTATCTAAAGTAAGTGAAAAAAGGTAAGTATAATAAGGAATTTATTGTTGAAAGGCACACTTGCAAAAGGCCTGATTGAGTGTAAAATTTCCAAGGGATAGAACAGGGATCGGTGGCAAAAGAACATCTTCAAGTTTTTATTTATTTATTTTATATAATTAGATACTTCGTACGAAGTATTTTATAATCTCAGATACAAAAGCAGTGTATATTCAAGATAAATAGTGAAGGGGGCAATAAACTACATAAGGTATCCATCAGTTTGAACATGGACTAATCACTAGCTCAGATTAGAATGTGGGCCAAACACTTATTCAATGGGCCAAAACAAGGAATTGGGCTTGGTAATTAAGCATTGAGTCCTACTTAAAATAACGATCAAGTAGATCTTAACTTGTGATAGTAGACTATAATTTTGGTTAAATTTACTGAACAAATCCCAAATGATTCAAGGTGAATTTATAGGATGCTTATTACAGTAAGCAAAATTTCAACTCTGAAACAACCAAAGAGGCAACAGTTGAACAGGACTGTAGCTTAATGCCCTTCTGCTGCTTATGATAGAGGACAAATGCTAGTTCATTTCGATGGTACAGGGAAAAAAAGGAGAGAACAAAATGTAATTCACTATCTTAAGTATGGCTGAAGCAAATAAGGAAACTGACAGGCAGTTCGGCTCATCTTACAGGGGTGCAACTGCTTAAAGAAGAGGTCTCAAGCTTTAAGAGCTTCCCCAGCTTTCACAAGATCCTCGAGCGCCTTTGATATCTGTCCCTCATTCATGCCATCCAGTCGGACACCTTTTTCAACACCAAAGTCTACACAAAACAATAAAATATGTCAAATTTGGTGATGGAAAATTTCAGAAGTAGCCAATCAAAGAGTGAAGGACCAAAAATGTCACAGATGAGAAACATATCATTCACAAATTTTCAATTTTCCAATACCAGTTTTATGCATTAGATTTGACAGCAATCCTAAAAGCCAATAGAATTGAAAAGTCCATTTACTTTTGACATATCTACAGTGTGAGGTTTCCTAATCTACTACTAGAACAGCATATATAGCAAAGTGCTTCCATCGTTCATCATGTGAGTATCATGTAAAATTTAACAAGAGTGCTTTTAGCTAATAGCCTGAACTTTAGCCACTGTCTAATTCAGGTTGCTTTGTTTGACATCAGACTTTGGTTGTTAACAAATATTTTCTTAAGTAATGCAGTAAACACTATATTTAATAATCACTCTCAATTAATCAAGCAACGTCCAATAGATTCAAGAATACTTAGAAAGATCCACAAGAAGGTAACGTTACAGTAATGTATCGCAATGCAAGTATAAAGGGAACATTGAGCGTCAAATTATAGGTTAGATGTTACAAGAAAAGTATGCAGATAGAAAAGGTGGATACCCCCAATAGTTAAATTTTTCATAGCTATAATGTACTCTAAAACTCTGAACGTGAGTATTTACCAAAAAAATAAAATAAACTCTGAACGTGAGCAATTGAGATGAATCAAATAAGTTTCTCATTGTGAGTTTAAAATTTTATAAATACAATCTACAGAGAGCACATACTCCGAACTAATTTACTCACAAACCGCTGGTCCTATGACCTTCAGGATAGTTAATACATGGCCAACTTAGCGGTGAGTTATCCCTTGTGTTAATCAAGCAATGAGATACCCTACGACAGCTCAAACCACTTAATCTGGTCAAGGATATTTTTTTTAAAAGGGAGCTACAAGCCTACAATAGGAGAAATGAGGCATAAAACTGCATATACATTGCATTATTTTTCTCCAGACAATACAGAAAAAGGAAATTCCAAACAGCATCCACCCATCCAAGTCATTAGATATGCCGATGTCTTAAGGTTTTGGTCAGAGGCTCAGAGCTACAATGAAGTCTGGCACAAACACAGTCATCTAAACTGTGGTCATGAGCACAGCAGAATGCTCAAGAGTTCCACAACTTGGAATCCCTAAGACCCTAATATATTGGAACTAAAGAGCCTTCAAAGTGGAGAGAGCTCATGACAAAAAATATTCTAAAACTGGAGCTGTGATGATTATTCAAGAGGAGCTTCATAACCGTTGAAGGGTGATTTAATATGGACTGAGATAAATTAGAGACTGAAGAGAATTTAGGATATAATTAAGAATAGAAAGAAGGCATGAGAAAATACGGACGCAGAGGCTTTATTAGAGGTGCAACTAGATCACCAATAAAACCCAAATGTATGAGATAAAAGATTACATTCTGGATATCCTTCCTGATTACATACCCCCTTTTATGAAAACTACTTTCATTCTCTCTCCTTTAACTAATTCTGATACCTTTCCCAAATTCCCCACATTCCATGCCCAAGCTCATGCCAACAGCAAGGCCTGACTGAATGCTGATATTATTAAGGTGGCTTTATCCCCTCCACTCGCACAGCATAAGTATGAAGTATAGGTGGCTGCTGAGGTCGATGTTTAACAAAAGGTAGAAACATACAAACTCTCTCTGTAGAGATTCAAGTCCTAAAGGTGACAACCCCCAGGCACCATCACAGAGCAGGCAATCCTAATTCTAGCCTAAGTGCAATGTTTTATTGAATATCTCAATTGTAACCAGTGGGGTGTAAACCTCTTGGCATTGACCACTGGCACTGACATAAGGACCATAGACAGGCTTCAGTTGTGATATATTCCCTCAATCAGATTGTCCAGACATAAGATTTTCTTCGCAATGTGGTTTTTCGGAAAGGGGAAAGGGCATCAGAATGAAAGAAATGAATAGAAACAAAGGGAAATTTAAGATATCACAGGAAAGAAATTTGGATTACCCTTCTCAGATCAAACTGGATGACTTACAAAACCAAGAAGAAAAAAAAAAAACGAAGTATGAAAAGACACTTTCACCATGACAATGAAATAACAGAAACAGCATACTGATAGGAATACTAATTATCTTCACCAGTATTTCATAATTATTCAGAATTTAAAAGGCCTACTTATAATCTGCAACACTAATGACAAGCATAGACGAGCATAAAATGTGAGGGGAGAAAAGGATATAATTAAATAAAAGCGTAGGATTCCTTAATCCTTACCATATCTAGCCCAAAGCTGGGGCTCAACACCACGGCTCTCACGGATCAAGATCGGCAATTTAGGATTCAATGTCTTCAACTCCTTGTAATTTTTTTCAACAAAAGTTCTAAGATAATTCAAAGGTAAATGTAAGAAAAAGGATATACAACTTAAATCAAAATTCGTGAAAATGCAGCAGAAATGTGGCTTTCCCATAATCATAGTCAATACAATAATACAAAAGAAAGATGCATATCTATGGATTCACAAATTTAAAGGGGAAAACTAATCAACAATCCGAAAATCCTCGTACCGTGCTTCAGCACTTGCAGGGGAAGTTTGGCAAAATAGGACCCGAAGCTCCTTCAGGTTCTTGGATAATTGTCCTCTCCAAGCCATGACTATTCGAACTACATTGATAAATTCCCAAAAAATTAGAAAAATTTCATCTTTGAGTCTAAAATCTACAAGAAAAAGAACCCATGTTACAGAAATCGAAGATGAAATTGATGATTCAACTGTAGCATTGTAAAATGACTTAAAATATTGGAAGATTAAAACTTTGAAGGTTCAAATTCAGTTATATCAATGCTAAAATAGTAAACCCCTAATTGCTATACTAAAGTATGATACGAAATAATCAATTAACCGAAACATAGAGCGGCAGCACACAAAATCAATTAGGGCGAAATTATAAGGGACGAGATCAAAATCAATAAACCCTAAAATCCAAATTAACGAAAGACAATAATATATAGATCAAAAGATATGTTCTTGATGAAATTGAACTAGAAAATGAATATAGAGAAGAAACTAATTCATAATCAAAATCGCAAAATAACCTGATTCGATTGGAAACACCACCACCTGACGAGCTGACTTGACACACTCTCGCTTTCTCTCTCTTCAATAGTTCTATGTTTATGCCTGCTTTAGAGGCTGATCGAATTTGATCCGGATAAATTCGGGTGGTAGAGTTGTGATCAATTCAAATCATTTTAATAGTTGTGCCGGGTTTCGATTGGGTCAATTCGGCTTTCAGTTTGGGTTTGAATTAGATTCAATTAGGTTAATGAGTTTTTAAGTTCGAGTCATTTTAGATTTAGACGAGGTGGGTAATATGAATACAAATAATTTTCTAAACTTTTTTTCTATCATAAATGAGGTTGTTGTTGATAAGTGGTTTGTGGAAATGAGAACAAGTTCAAATAAGTTGAGAAGTTTTGTAAAAATGAGTAATAGACTAATGAAATTCTAGTGAAAACAACACTCTATATTTCGTAATTTAATTCCCTTTTTACTTTATTTCTATTTTGGTTAAAAAGCCAAAGTAAGAGGATCTTGATAGTTGATAGGGATATCTATTTTTTGTTTTTTTAGCACATGTGCTGGATCCATTCATCTATGTTTCAACCAAGATATAAAGACTAATTACTCCGTACAATTATTAAGTTTATTATAGACCTATCTTAGTGTCCTCTCTCATAACAACACCTCTATTATGCACTCATGTAAAAGCAGAGCGTAAAGGTGTGCTCTATGGTATAGTTTTGGACATTTTAAATCGGAATATAAGCAAATGAGTGCATATAAGATTTTTCACTCTCCCATTGCCTCACATTATGTAATTTGGATTATATTCGTGCATAACGAGGATACAAAACTTGAATTTTTGGTCATGAAAGTGTGTGGGGGAATGCTTTTCCATACCTACTAAATTATATTTTTATGCAATGTATTGGATAATTGATGATGGAGAGTTTTAAAGCTTTTGTGAATTGGGTTTTTTTTTTTTTTTTTTTGGAATTAGTGGTCTCTTAAGTTGCTGAAAATCAATCTCATGTAAATTAGCAAATTCAATCAATTTGTAAGGAATTCAATAAGATTTGCGCAGAAGCTTAGTAAAGGAGGGGTAAAGTCCTTTTTTTGCTCTTATTGTCTTACATAGTTAGGGAATGTCTTGTCTAAATAGTTAGGGAAATAGTAGGGGCGAAATATTTTAAATTATCTTAATGAGAAAAGTGTAGTTACGTTACGTATTACTTAAACTTGAGTGAAGCACACGATCAACAATTTGCTGGTTTCTTACATACTAATATATGCTTCTGAAAATCATCCTTACGGCTACAACAAATCGTTAGACCGTCTCTTCGAAAAGGTTGTATATTCCAGCGATGTGTGCGAGAGATGTAACATAGTGCAAGATCTTTTCAAAGATCGTAGCTTTGATGAAGGAAACTTTAGTTTGGCTCAATTTTATGTATTTGTTGATTTAGATTTCATTTGTAGATGTCGTGTGACTTTTGATTAATGAATTGATTTGTTTTAATATATATATATATATATATATATATATATATATATATATATATATATATATATATATATATATATATATATATATGCTTCTGTCAAACAAAATGATGCAACCTCAGCATTTGCTGAAAAATAAGCAAGTCTAATGACATTTTACAAGAAAAATTCATAGATATTTGTTATTTTTCACAGTAGCAAACCACTTTGACTATCTACAACACTGAATGAAATACATATGCAGTCATATACATGATATACTGCATAGTTTCATACCTACATTATCAAATTTCTATACAAAAAGAATGAAAACACCAAGATCAAAAAAATTACATAAACTAACCATATGAAAAAACATAAGCATCTAAAAGTTAGCTTCTTCCTTCATCACAATAACAAACACAAAAAGAAGTCATCCTCTTTTGGTTTGATCATCAATTATCTCATCAACATCAATAATTACCGTGCATAGCCCATCATCATAAGCCTAAATTCATCAAAATTAACAAACCCATCTCCATCTTTATCAACCCCTTTAATCATAAGATTACATTCCTTAATACAACAATTAGCAAAACCTAACCTCTTTAATACATGATGCAACTCCTTAGCTGAAATTAAACCATTCTTATCACAATCAAATACAAGAAATGCATCCATTAAATCATCTTCTTCAAACCCACCACCACCACCACCATCATCATGATCTTCGTCGACAGACACATCATCTTCACCATTAACAACATCATGATCGTGATCGTGATGATCACCCATCATGAAAACATTCATGTACTCATTCAAATCAACATAACCATCACCATTAGCATCCAAATGTTTTAACATGGTAGCAACTTCATCAGCTACTTCAGACTTATCATGCCCAAAACACAAGAGAAATTCACTTAATCCATGAGGAGATATCTTACCATCACCATTTGCATCAATAAATTTGAACACTAACTCTAATTGTCTACTCATTTCCATGCTTGCAAATGATGTTTTCATGCCATCAAACCCATTAAATCCCCTGTTCTTGGACTTACTTTTGCATACTTTCACAAACTTCTTGAGGATTTTGTGTTGATAAACAAGGGCTTTCATCGATTTTCGTGTCGAAATCAAGGAACTTTTGATAGATTTCAGCATGATTATACAAAAATTAAGGAGGGTTTAGTAAGAAGATATTTTTATTTTGGGGTGTTTGAGGAAAGTTGGGAGTTTTAATAGGAGATGACAACTTATATATACTATACACATTAATTAAAGCAAATAAGATAAAAGTGGTAATAATATGATAAGATGCTTACTAAGACTAAGGATATACATGTGAAAATTCCATGTGCTGTGCTTTATTATTAGTCTGTGTTCTAAAACAATACCAAATGATTTCAAAGATAAGTATGACCCACCGTTATTGGAATAGTCCAGATTCTAGAAAAGGTCAGCCACTTAAAAATCTAGTAATAGTTTTGTTCTTGGATCCTCTGTTGTAATCAAATTGTCTGTCATAACAAAGGAAATGCAGTACATACAATGATTATTTATATCTATTTCCAATTATTGTACTAGTATGATTGAGGGTAAATGATAACCATAGCTACTTGAAGTCTCACCCGTCTTACGTTGAAGTTAACTTCTTATACGTAGTATTATGTCCAACCTATTTTAACCTGTTTTATACTACGTATAAGTTTTACATAAGTTAAATTTAATTAGATATAATAACCGAACAAAAAAAAAATAACCAAACAAAGATTTTGTAGATTGAAGGATAATTTATCGAAACAAGGGAAAATTTAACTTGAGTCTGTCTCATTCACAACCTCTTCAATAATACTTCGTATGTGTATACGGACTATGGAGTACTATGATAAACATCCGCAAGTTGAGGCGAAGTTGGCTGAACAACGATCCAAATTCATATTGATGATCTTCATTACGTAGTATATGCGATTCGTATTCCCTTCCTCTGTTTATTCTTCTTCTCTTCTCAAATAATGTTCCTACTGTATTCAACAACTTGTTAATCATTGAAGTTTAGAAAGAAGTGCATATTATGATTGAATTGTGTATGAGATTTTACGCTTTCGAGCTTCATTATTGGACAATTATTTGATCCCGGCAGTTGACAAAAGACTAAGAACCTTACCAACAATTTTGCAGCATATCTAGTTATCTACCATATTTTTCATAAACAAGGGTGAAGATTTTGTCAGAGGCAAATATGGCAGAACAATATACTCTTATCAAGAAACAATCGTCCTGGGTATGATATCGCCTTGGCATAATCTTCATCCAAGAAATAACAAGTAAATGTTCAAAAAGTTAAGATAATCATATTTTTCAGCCATAAAAAATGGAAAGTTGCCAAAACCTGTGACTGCTCATTGAAATATTTTTTACACTGAATGTATGCAAAAAAATTGACTAAGAAATCATACAACAAAGCTCCCGATGTAAGCCTGTAATCTTAATCTATGAAACCTGATGCCTCCCATACCTTAGTTATATATCACATGAAGTATGGAAGCAATGGGAAACATAGATCGGCCATACTAACTATGATATAGTAGCTAAATAAACTACAATATTGACCTCAGAGCTAGAAATATTCTGAAGCAAAGATGACAACAAAATCGTAACTGCAGCACCTTGGTGAAGTTATATAACTCTGCTGAAGGAAACCCAGAAATGATCAACAGGATCGCAGCAGCAGGGGGCCGACTGACACATTAAGCATTTCACTCAAGGCTACCTGGACGTCCTTAGATCCATGTTCACAGCTGATTAAAGTGGAAAGCAGAGGGAAGAACCGTGCTAGGCTCCTCTCAAATGAAGTTTCTGCCAAACTACATATAGCCTGCAGAGTGGTCACGATAAGAGGTGCACGTCCAGCCAACTCTCTACGTCTTCGAGAGCCCAAGGGTATCTTCCAATGGGCCCCACTACCAGCAGAAGGCTCAATTTCGTGCCCAGACGAAGCCTCAATGTAGAATTGAAGAACCTCTCGGCAGAGATTGACAAGGTAGGATTCTATTTCCTCCTCATTGAAGTCTGCAGGTCTATCAAGCATAAGATTTTGCAGGAGTGTGAGGCACATTTGATAAGACTCGTTTTCAAGGCGTAAAAGTGGAGGATCTTGCATTTGGATAATGGATCCAATCTCCAGTAGCTTTGAGCATAGATTTGCATCACAGTTTATCTTATGTGCATGTGACGCCACTGCCCGCAAAGCATCAAAAAGTATACTAACATTTTTTGCTGAAATATGTGTCCTATACAACATGTAGATCTCCATGGCAGCCTGCAAATTTTAACAAGGCATGCTTTCAAAATTCCGCAGTCATCATCATAATAGGATTGCAACTTGCTACAACAAAAAAAAAAATTGTCCAAGATTTGCCACGTGCCTAGAGTTAACAATTATTTCTATGTACTCATTTCTGAGAAAAAAAAAGGGGCCATATACTACTAAATCATGCAGCCAAATAAGTTAGAATTAGACAAATAAAGTACCTTTTCATGAACTGCCTTTATTTTCATAGGGATGCCTTATTTATTTATTTTTTTCTTTTTTTTTTTTGTGAACCGCCTTTTCATCCCTTGTTCCATTACACATAGTAGCATCTCATTCTAATAAATATTAATTATCCCATGCTCTCTAATTTAAAACTGAATGAGTTTTAAATGTGCAATATGCCCAGCTGTGGATAGGTTGAAGAGGGACTAAAGGACTCATAGAGTTGAAGTTGAACCACATAGAGATAATAAGGTCCAAAAAATTGTTAATATTTTGTTCTAGTTTAGAGAAATCCGATTGTTGGTAATTGGTATCAACCAAAGCTACGATGCACAGAAACTCTCATGAAGATCACACCTCCTGTTTCAGAAACTTGCAAAATCAGAGTCAAGGGAAACATTTTTATTTTTATTTTTTTGCAGGCCAGCAAGTTCTTCCCCCTCATAGATCTTTTCACACAGTGAATTTATATAATCTGAATTATATGAATATATATTGTTTGCAGCATGTAACATTTTGGTCAATATTACCTAATACAATATTGTAATTTCTAATATTTGGATACACTCTTAAGAAAAATAAACCTAAGAAAACTTATAGCCAAACTTACTACAAGACTAACGCATCATATTCATTACCACAAGGTCGGCGACATTATGACTGGTACCACGATGAAACTGCAATTTTGAACAATATTTCTGTCTTAACCCCTTTAACAAAACTAAAACTATAACACTGTATTTATTAATTTCATTAATAGTTATTAAATTTCTAAGTAACTTTATTGACATCCTAGGAAAAATTTTGCAGTTTTGCATTTCCTGATCTTATTCTAATATTTACATTTCTCTAGTCCACATTATTATTTCCAACTTTCATTTCTGTGCATCATAAAATAAGATACGGAGATAAGGGGAAAAAAAGCATTTAAGAACATGCAATAGGACATTCAAGAATTTATACCTGGATCAACAAGAGCTGGACAGCACAACGGCATTTGACATCAGATACAGCAGCATAAAATTGCTGTGTTCTTAAGCTCTCTGAATCATAATCATGTGTACCAGTCCCGGTAGTTTCAGCAAGATCTTGTCCACCACCAGATTCTTCGATATTCATAACTGAACTATCCCCGTTCAAGATAAAGGAAAAATCAGGAAGGGTGGATATGGCTGCTTCTTTCAATGAAGAGACCACTTCAAGCCATTCGTCATCCGAGAAGAGATCTCCAGAATTGCTTATCAATCGAACATATGCAGCAATACCAATCCCAGCAAGGCTCTGGTGAGGTCTCTTAATGAAGCTCACTAACAGCATCAGAACTTTCTTTAAAAGGGGATGAACAGTAGAGTAAAACTTGACAAAAAGATCCACAATTAGCTCAAGAGACAATGTACATGTCTCATACAGCCATGAATCTTGATCAAATTCAGCTATCTCACCATCACCGCTCTCTTCAAATGAGTTTTCAGTGGATGGGTCAATGGCTTGGCGAACATAATCGAATATACGAAACAAGACCGATTCGAATACTCGCTCCCACAAAGGAAGCGAAAAGTGCTGGCCATGGTTACGTAGAGTGTCAAACAAAATCTGCAACGCACTTTTTCTGATTTCTGGTCTTGGATCAAAACTGAGTTCTGACAAGCCTACAAAGGAGAATGGAATAGTCAACTTCCTAAACATATACCACCAATATTATCACTAAGAACTGCAGCATGTAATACAGAACACCCCATGGACAAAATGAAACATAAGAAAGTTTAATTAGACAAACTCCAAGTCTATATATAATTGAGAATATAGGTAGTAGAACATCTTTAGTATAGAAATTAATGAACTCAATGGTCAGTTGTAAAATTGCTCAAAGTTTCATTTTCTCAATTATAATGTTTCAAATTTTACAATACACATCTTTAAAGTATGAAATAGGTTTTAAACAAACATAATAACAAAACTCTATATGTTAAGCTGTAAACATTTATCTTACCAGCCAACAACGGGAACCAGAAATACAGATGGTCAACCTTGTCACCCAACTCTCCATTTTCCATCTTTCCATCTTTCACTGTTTGTGATACGGATGGAGAGATATCCAAAGTTTCCTTATCCTTATCTTTGCCTGAAGAGCCAAGATCTCCCTCAGCAAGCTTCTCTGCACAGTAGCGCAAGAAGCCAATGGCACTAAGACTGATATCCTTGTTAAATCTGCTATTAGTAAAGGCAACGAGGCAATTTACACAATCTGTAAAAGTACTAGACTCTGTCTCAGTAATGTACGGGAAATAGTCTCGAACAATCTTCTCCATTATCTCAAATGCTAACAGAACTATGTTTTTGTGATCATCATATGCTGCTGTGGTAAAGACCTACACATACAAATGACAAATAGGTCAATAAGTCACACACAACTATTTTTTCGAAACAATAACAGAATTATCAAAATCTTAAGAAGCAAAACTTTCTGTAACTTCTCTCTGGGGGTAGGGCCCGTATGGGAGTGATGTATCAGATGAATCAAACCATAAGCAACAGGATTTCCCCATCAACAATTGTGATTCCTTTTCACCAAATAATAATTCTTTTTCACATCACCAATGTAAAATTAATCCGTTTCACGTAAGCTTGAGGATATCACGACACTAAACAAAAGATACTGGGAAACAATTGATGGGAACATTGTTGTATACTTGTTTGTAGATTAATAAAATATGAAGTAGTTGTTTATTTAGTCAAGAAAACGTATTGGGAACCTTTCAGCCATCATAAATCCCGAGTTCATT